AGGCTCAGCACCCAATTGGCCACACACCACCCCAGCAACAGCCTGGCGGTGACAGAGGGGTCCCCCTAGAGGTGGGGCCTGGTACCGCAGGGCCTTGCTCCTCACGACAACTGAAAGGGACAGCATTCTGACTGACTCTCCATCTGTCCAGCCCTTCTCCAACATGCCACCCCCGAAATACCGCGGTCCTCTCCAAGTCTTCCCAGCTCAAGTCACCCTGCTGTTTCTGAAGGTAAGTTCCTGTGAACGAGCAAATAGAAATTTCAGAAGGGAAGTTAGTCTTCCTCCCATTCCTTTCCTCCATTTACTCCCTCCCTTTCCTTCCTGTGGGTCTGCTACTCCTAGGCAGCCTATACGGCCACCATTTTGTTAACTAAACAAGGTCAAAGTGGTCCGGCCACTTAGGAACAGGAGCCCTAACCCTTAAGCCCTTCAGATCAAACAAGAGCACAAAGCTGGATCACACTGGGAAGTTTGTACATCACAAGGTATGTCCAGAACGCCCAGAGGGCTGAGGACCGATGCATAACATATGCATCAAGAGGTATGTCCAGAAAGCCCAGGGGGCTGAGGACCAATGCACAACATATACTCCCGATTTATACATCACGAGGTATGACCGGGAATGCCCAGGGGGCCGAGGACCAATGTATGACAAGGGACCCCAGAAGCTGATCAGCGGAGGGCCTTGTTGATGAGATTAGAACCATGGTGGGGGATTAGGGTGTAGCATCAAGTAGATTAGAAGTGCCTGGAGGGCAGACTCACAATCCCTAATCTTCTACACCCTTCCCCGTTCCTTAATCTCCCTAATCTCCTAAAAACCAATTATGTGTGTCAATAAAAGGGCCAGGATCTTGCTCTTCAGCAGCACCCTGCATTGTGCAGCCTGCTCCATGACTCCCATTTGTCAGTGTGGTGTTGCCCGATGCAACACTTTCCTGCCCCCCTCTCTCCAGCTCCCTCTCCCTCTCTTTCTTACATTCAATATTTCTGGGACCCTATACTGTGCCCAAGTGGGTACAAAGCCCTTGGGATTCAGTGAATGAGAAAAGACACAGCTCTTACCCACCTGGCACTCCCAGCCTGATGGTGGACTCACATTAATTTTGAAAATCATTTGTTAATCTGCAACTACAACAGGTCCTATGCTAGAGCAGTACCTGATGCTGTGAAAACCTGCACTAGGAGGCAGGGGGACCGGAAGGAAGCCACACCAGAGATGAGTTGTGGAGGGGGAGTAGAAGCCACTCTTTCCAGTGCCCTCCAGCCCCAGGCTCCCCTGGCCCCAGCCCCGGGGTCCAGAAGAACACCCAGCCCGCCTTGCTCAGTGCCACTTCTGCATTCATGGATTATCTGCATTGGCAGCAGGAGAAATGGATTAGAGCAAAACTTGAATATGAAGATTGACATTTCCCAATGGCTTGGGTTTAATTTGGGGTAATCAGAAAGCAGGGGTTTTGCCTTTGGGGTTTTCCTATTCTAAACAAGGAAGCTGCGTGGTTGTTAGGCACAAACAAGCTGGACAAGTACCTGCTGGATGGTTTCCTTCCTGAACCCAGTCCAGGCTGCATCCGGAGTGAGAGTTGGGCACAACTCACTCCGCTCTCCCTGGAGAACCACAGGTGTTAGCAATACCAGCACCCGCAAGGCCTGCCAGGTGGCTCACCTGTCTCGTGTCATCTGCTCTATGCCATGTTCCTTTCATTGTCTCTGCTTCACAGATGGAGAAGCTGGGCAGCACGAAGAGCCTTGGACAGGCCAACTGCAGGGCCCAAGCTGCCTCTACCTCTTCCTTCAAGTGTTCTCTCTAGTCCTCCCAGCAAGCCCCCGGGGTGCTTGTCACCTCCAGTACAGGTCAGGAAACTGAGTTTCCAAGTGATAGAGGTTTCCTTAAGGTCACACGAGGTCAGTACCTGATACCTGATATGCATTTGCGCCACCACACACGCACACACAGCATTAAGCCTACTCATCCTGTCACTTAGTCACATTTCCAAGCTGGTGTTTGAGGACTAATTGATGGCACAAGAGGTTTATGAAATCATTTCAGTGATTGCACACAGTCTCAGGACAATGGGGAAACACACACATGTGTTAGCCATGGTTACTTCCACTCAATCGTGCAATTAACAGTGATAATTCCTTCTCCTGCAGTTATGTTTTCATCAGTTGTCCAACCACCTTATGTTTCTTAAGAATGAGTATAAAGAGAAGGGCATGTGACCTTAGGAGCCCAGTAGATCTGGGTTTAAATATCTGCTCCCCGGTGTGCTGGGCCTTGGGCATAACTTGCCGCTGAATCTGGCTTTCCTCATCTGTGAACAGGGACAGATTAAAGGAGATGCCCCATGAAGTTTCTAATTCATGCCGTTGGCTGTTCCTTGAATGGTGAGTGCTTTCCTTCTGTAAGTGTCCTCTGCCCCAGGAAAGTCCCGCCTATCATTCATCTGTGCGTGGAGCCGGTGGATCTGCGGGGGAGGACAGATTTCCCTCCCGCCCCTCTGTTGAGGGCAGTAACCAGAGAGAAGGGTTGCACTGGGAGCGGGCTGCTGGGTGAAATAAAAATTTGTGAAACCCCTGGCTGCTTGCTTCCTCATTTGAAAGAGTGGCGTGAGCTGTTTGAGGAAGTAGTTGCAGGAGGAGACTCTTGGGACAGAAATGGGAGGCTCTACCTTCGGACTGCTTCTCTCACTCATCTGCCCCAGAAAGCAGCTCTGATTCTGGGAATAAGTGTTCTCTACACTTCTGGAAGCATCCAGACATCTTTTTATTTTATATATAGCAATTTTATTAAGCTATATCTTACATAACCATACAACTCCTCCATTTAAAGTGTATGATGCAGTGGCTTTTAGAATAATTAGTTGTCCAATCATCACTGCTATCAGTTTTAGAAAATTTTCATCACTATAAAAAGGAGACCCCTTACCTATGAGCAGTGACAGCCTATTCCCCATCCCCCCCACCAGTCCTAGAAAATCACTAATCTACCCTCTGCCTCTGGTTGCCTATTCTGGACATTTCATCTATGAATGGAATCATCCATACATGGTCTCTGTGTATGGCTTTGTTCACTTAGCACAGTGTAATCAAGGCTCAGCCACAGTGCAGCATATCAATACTCTATTCCTTTTGATTGCTGTATAATATTCCATTGCATGGGCCTTCTAATTTAATCATTCTTCTAATTTAATCATCCACTTCTAGTTGATGGGTATTAGCCATCCTTTTTGAAGTTAATACAGATTAATTGCAATGTGATCTGTTAAGCACCTACTGTGTGCTAGGCACTTGACCTCATTTCAAATCCCAGTAATGGTCCAGAGAGGCAGGTCTATTTCTCCCATCACACTGATAAAGAAACTGAGTAGAGATGACGTGGCCCATCCAAGGTTACACTAGTATCAGAGATGGAATGAAAAAAGATCAACCTGGTCCCTAGTTTGTGTTCTTCCCACTGCACCCCTCCCACTCCCCCATCATCCCAGCCCCTGAGCCCTGCTCTCCTTCCAGGTGGCTCTGGGGCCAGAACCAGAAAGAATCTACTTATTTGGCAATCATTCATTCAACAAGCCCTAACTGGACCACCTGGATGGCTCACACATATTAGTCATGAGCCAGGTGAGACGCAGAGGTCACCTTCTAGAGCTCACTGACTTCCAGGGTGTCAAGAGTCAGTTGCTGGGCCTCCCCGGTGGCGCAGCGGTTGAGCGCTGGGTTGCGAAGCTGCCAGCAGCCTCTGTAGCGCCGGTTCGATCCCCGGCTGCTCCCCAGCCACCGGAGGAGGGTCCCACATGGCGTGCAGACCTCTCCTGCCGCCCGCTGCTCCCCTCAGCAGTGTACTTCGGTCCTTCTGCCTGCTCTGCTCCCCGCTCTGGCTCTGGTGAATTCTCTCACCCTCCCGCGCTTCTGACTGTACCCAGTGCATGTATAAACAAAACAAACAAATGAATAAATAAATAAATAAATGAAACATGCCTCTATTAAAAAAAAAAAAAAAAAGAGTCAGTTGCTGCTTGCCAGGAAGGGGGTGACTCAGAGATCAGGAGAACCCAAGCAGATATTTAGAGGAGAAGGCATTTTGAGCAGGACCCCAGGAGACCCAGCAGATTTCCCCAGCAGACACAGGCCAGCCTGGAGGGCTCACAGAACAGAGACCAGGGAGGCTGTAGGGTAAATGAAAATTATCGGGATTTTCCACCCTCCCACCATTAACATTAATGATAAATCCCTGCAGTCCTACATGCATGCCTGATGGCGGGCACCTGGAGTAGGGTGTGGGCGTGCACAGGTGGGCACACCTAGGCTGAGAGACTGGGCTTGTAAGAGTGGCCACGGGGAACCAGCAGAGAGCAGAACAAGAAGAGAAACAGAATGAGAGCAAAACCAGCAGAGCAGCAAAGGAGAAGCAGAGACCACAAGAGAACGCAGAGAGCCCAGAAAGGGGGAAGACTTGCCGGGGGCCGGGAGGTCTGCCAGCCTCCTGGCCCCCCGGCCTCCCTGCCTGCTGTGTACCTGGTTGCCACACTACAAATGGTGTAAAAAGATCAATAAAAGCCTGAAAATTCACCAAGGGCTCCAGGACTCTCCTTTACCCGTCTGCCCGGATCATAGAGAACCTGCCGTGCCTTGCTGGCGCTACAGAGATGAAGCAGGTAAGGGAGAGGTTGGAATCACATTGCTGAGAGCCTTGAATGACAGGCAGAGTTGAGCTTCCTCTGAGAGCAGCAGCCATGGGAAGTGTTGAGCAAGCTAAGATGGAAGCCACCCAAGGGTGCTCTGCCCACAACTCAGACCCTGCACAGCTCCTAACTCCCAACACCTAGAACAGCGCCTGACTCAATGAGGGGAACCTTACACATTTGTTGAATGAATGAATCTGCTGCCACCCCCCTCCCTCACTGCCCTCTCCTAGCCCCGCTCCTGGCTAAATGGAACAAGGCACCTGGTGCAGCCCTAAGTAGGGAAAATGGCTATTCAGGCTTACACACACACACACACACACACACACACAACCTGCCACTAGCCTTTATGACCACCATGCACGGCCTTGCTTTCCTCCCAGGCTTCATTGCCCACTTGTGATATCATGTTGGTGCAAAAAGTGCACGGGAGCAAGCTTGGGGCACACACACCTATGATTGCAGACATCTGGGGCTGAGAGGCGTGCACACGGGGCTCGCGCGGACACTGTGGCAGAGGCCAGTGAGCACGGGCACGCACACCTATAGGTACTGACGCCTGGGTGAGCTTGTTACCAGATTACGCAAGAGAGATGTGGGGGGAGAACGCCAAAGAGAGGGTGTGGAAATCAGGGGCCTGGAGGCTTTGTCCCTGCCAGCCTCCCGGCCCCCCTGCCTGCCCACCACTACACCCCGGTTCTCCCATCTCTCTCGCTCCTTCTGGTCACGAGTCAACAAGGGAACAAATGCTCACGCCCCCACGGCGTGTCAGGCAGTAGGAGTGACTTGTTGGGAAATGGTGAATTCGTGTGGGGTGGGACTGGCCCTGCTGCTGAGTGGCAGAACTGAGACTCCCCAGGAGAGGGGATTCATTCCAGCTTCCAGATGGGGGTGCAGTGTTGCAATGGGGAGGAGGCCCCCAAGGAAGGGACGAGGCCACAACGGCGTTCCAGGTCCAGTGGGGTGGACAGCAGGCTGAGGACTCTGCCCCCTCTGGATGAGCCACCACACCAGGAGCCTCAGCCCCAGCCGACTGCGCCCCTGCCTTTGCTCCCAGGCTGGACATCCCTGGGCACGCACTGGGATCTTTTCTATAAAATGATTCCCGCAGAGAAATTGTTTCTATAATACCCAAAGTACAAAATCTTCCCTCTTCATGAAGGGAAAAACAGCCCCAAAAGACGTCATCAGAATTCCTTTGGTCAGGCAGGTGAGCTGGTTCCCAAGGCCCTTTGGGTGGCCTATCACTAGTCTTAAAACCTTCTGGAACATTCTGTCCAGAAAGAACCATCATTCCCAAGCCCTCTCCTTATTCAGATGGGAAACCTGATACTCTGAATAGGGAAGGGCCTGCTCAAGGTCATCCAGGACATGGCAGAGGTGGGACTCAGGGCTAGGGACCCCCCACTCCCACCCAGTCTGCTCCATGTACCATCCTAGGCCGACCACCCTTCTCTAACCAAGGCTGTGCCCCTTGGGGTTCTGCCGAGTGGCAGAACCGAGACTCTCCAGGACAGGGGATTCATTCCAGGTGGTACTGAAGAGAGTTCAAGGTGAACTCTCTTCACCTGGAAATTACTTGGCAGTGCAGGTAATTTTGAGCCCAGGCACTAACTGGCTTCAGGCCCAAAATAGCCTAAAGGAATAGGAGCCACCCTCCTCACCCATCACGCCCCGTCCCTCAGGCTAGAGGTCGGCCAAGCTCTACAAGGAAGGCGGCCTTGCCTCGGCTCTACACGGCCTCCATGGCTTGAGCTCAGACCCTTGCATTGCTGATCAAAAATCTCAACTGGAAATAACATAAGTTTCTTTATAAATATGCATGTGTGTGTGTGTGTGTGTGTATATATATATATATATATATATATATATATATATATAAAGAAAAATACAATGGCTACTTAATACAGGTAGCCTGAGTGAGCAAAGTCGTTCTGGATCCGGGGTCTCAAAGGTGGGGAAAGATCAGTGAAAGCACCTCGGGGCAGCAAAGTGAGGTGGGTGACAAGCTCATTCCACGGGACTCTCTTTCCGCTGGCATTCCCGGTACACCAGGAAGGGGTGGACGAAGGTGAGAAGAGTCACAAGCACCAGCGCCACATTGACCTGGAGAGGGGAGGCAGAGGAGGGAGACCACACCCAGCATCAGCCGCGTCCACGCCCTCCAGCCAGGGGAGAAAACTGCCTGGTGCATCTTTCTACTCCTGCCGTGGTGCCCGGGGCTTTCAGACGGTTTCGGAGAGAGTATTACGCCCATTTCACAGAGGATGAAATGGAGGCTGAGACTCCCAGGCCATCAGGAGGCGGGCGGCAGCAGGGGCGGCCACGACACTGCTGATGACGGAGAGGGCTGTCATCTCCTATCACAGCCAAGCAAGTCTCCGCAGTTTTAAGTTCAGAACTATTCTTTTTATCCCAGTAACTGAAACTTTGCTGGGCTTTTGAAAATGAAGCTGGCAGAGCTGAGCAGTGCCCAGAACACTGAGCTCCAGGGTGGAGATAACTCTCAGGGGGGGTTTCTCCAGGCAGAAGCCACGGACCCAAGTCTTAGAGCCTTTTCTGGCCCCTTCCCAGGGCTGGGCCCAAGAGCACCCCTGCATGCAGAGGTGAGAGCACAGAGCTCCAGCCCCTTGGGCCTGCCTGGGATCCAGAGCGGCTGCAGACCTAGGGCCCAGCAAGGTCAGCCCACACTGCAGGCAGGAAATCTGGAAGTCTTTGGGTTTTGTTTGAAATGTTGTGTAAGGGTTTCATATTCTCCTCCAGAATATGTGTATTTATTTACAAATATTTTCTTCCCAAATATCACAATAACAAGTACTCTCTGGGAAGCCCAGTGCAATGTTAACCCCATGGCTCCAGACAAATCCAGCACAGGGCAGGGTCCCCACACTGAACCCAGTGTGGGAGGCAAGGCCTGAGGCACACTTTGCTGGGGCCACTGAGTTGCCCTGATGGGGACGCCCTTGCCGGTCCAAGGTCCCACCCCTCCCTACCATACTCACGTAGAACGGATCATTCTGGAGAGGGCCTTTGATGAGGGTGAATATAGGGAACTGGAACAGAGACACAATGGCAGACAAGGCCATCACCAGCCCAAAGAGCTTCCCAAAGTGCTCCGCAGGGAATCTGGGGAGAGAGACATATGGGGTTCCAGGGAGCTTCAGTGACCAACCCACCCAGTAAGGGCCTGGCGTTGGTGGTTCTTTGTCAGCCACATCCCCTGAGCCCCCTGTCCCAGGCCTGCTCCATGCACCCACACCCCAGCCCTTGCTCCCTTCACCTTTGCTCTGGTTTTCAGACCACAGGGCAAAGGTGAGGCACCAGGAGCTGGGAAACCAGCAGGGACCCAGGCTCAGTGTGAGCCTGGGAGGATCAGGGCAGACACATGGATCACGACAGGCCAGGGCAAGTCACACACACTCTTGAGGGAAGCAAGTACCAGGTGTGAGGACCACAGAGGCAGGATGCTTTCGGCTCCTTTCGGGGGCACTGAAACGGACATGGGCCTTGCTGTGTCAAAAAGACTAGGAGCAACAAATGTTGGTGAGCATGGGGAGAAAAAGAACCCTCATCACTGTTGGGATGAATTTGGTGCATCTTCTATGGAAAAGGTCTGGAGGGTCTTCAAAAAAAGAAAATGGAGGGCCTCCCCAGTGGCCTATGGGTTAAGTCTCAGTGCTGTCACTGCTATGGCCTGAGTTCCATCCTCAGCCAGGGAGCTGAACCGCATGGTGCGGCAGACCTCTCCTGTCTCACCCGCTGCTCCCCTCAGCAGTGTATTTCTTCAGTCTGCCTGTTCTGCTCCCCACTCTGTCTTTGGTGAATCCTCTCACACATACCCCCAAGCTCCTGCCTATACCCCAGTTCTTCTACACAAAAATAAAAAGAAAATGGAAACACCATAGGATATACACTGCCAGGTGTTTACCTAAGGAGTGTGACATTTCTAATGCAAAAAGACATGTGCTGCCTATGCCCACAGCAGCATAATCCACCACAGCCAAGTCATGGGACCAACCTGCAAACCTAACCACAGGTGACTGGATAAAGAAACAGGGGATGTCTACTTAATGGAAAACCGTTCAGCCATCAAAAAGATGACATCGTGCCTTTTAAGACAAAATAGGTGGCTCCTGAGATGATGATGCTAGGTGAAATAAGTCCGTGAGTGAAAGACAGTGACACCGTAACTTGGAATATAAATAACCACAGAAAACACAACAAAAATAACTCCTAGACATTGTGAACAATACCCTGGTTACCAGAGGGGTGGTGACGAGAGGGCACTGGAGCTCCTGGTGGAGGGGAATGAAGCACATGCCGTATGGAGGTGTGACGTTGTATCCCCAAATTATGTAAATTTGACCAAGTTTGAGATTAAAAAAAAAAAAAAAGAAGCGGGCCTTGGAAGGGGAACAAGTGTTCACCAGGTAGAGAGATAACAGGCGCCGAAGGGAAAGCAGACACCAAGTTTCAAGGACATGCTCTATATCCCCCCACCTGTCCCAGGCATTGCACCTGCTGCGACCCTCTGCCCCCCACCAGCTCCCAGCTCCTGGTCACCCCCACCTCCGGATGTCTCCACCTCCGGCAGGCTTCCTTTACCCCCGTGTCCACACTAGTAATGCAGCCCAGGGCCACTTACGCGAGGGTGAGGAAGGCAGCGTTGCCCCCGTAGAGGAAGGAGCGGCTGATGACCTGCAGCACGAAGGTGGTGTACTGCAGTGGGAGCACTGGCACTGAGGCGCAGAGGGCGAAGCCCAGGCACAGCAGGGAGGTCAGGGCCAGCGAAGGCACCGTGGAGCAAAGGGCCACAGCCGAGGCCGAGGAACCTAGGCCAAACGGAAGAAGACAGGCTGCCCAGAGGCGGGGACAGGGAGGGCAGGCAGGGGACGAGATGGGAAAAGCAAGGGACCACCATCCACCAATGGCCCAGCAGAAACCCAGGGCTCATCCTTGAATCCCCCAATGGCGTCTGCTCAGGCCCATCCTTAAATGTGGCTCCTCTGTCTCCTGAGCATCATCCCAGCACTTCCTCACTCATTCATCCGAGGACCTGACCACCATCAACCCACAGGCAGGCCACGACAAAGGCCTCCTAGCAGGCTCCACATCCTACCTGCACGGCCCCTACAACTCCAGGCCAGATGTCTGTCTGGCACCATTCAGCGAAGGCGGGGAACAGGGCAGACAGTTGGGGAAGGTGCCCCAATATCACCACACAAAGCAGAGCCCAGTGGTGAGGCAGAGGGGCGCCCTACACAGAGCAGGCTGAGGAGCCACCTGGACACGGCAGGACGGGGTGCTGCCTGCCACCCTCTCTATACACACACACACACACACACACACACACTGAAATATATACTCTATATCACATTCCACGTTCTAGCATAACTGCATATATGTATAATGTCTGCACTTAAGGAAAAAAATCATTAAAAATACCAAAAGAAAGAGGGAAAGCATGGGGGCAGAGAGCACAGCAGGAAATTAAACTCTTGTGAATAGGTCTTGTTTCACACTGTTGGCTTTGGGGAAGTGTAAATGTTTAAAAACTTAAATCTAAACAGGAAGAAAACAAGCAAAGCAAATCCCCCCCAAATCAGGAAAAAATGAAACCAGCGAACATAACTTTGTCAATTTAGTACCAGTTAGACACAGCCACTTGCCTGTGTAACCCTTGTGAATATATCCCGAGACAGGGTATACCCGCTCAGCAGGCAGAGGAGGGAGTGAGAGCAATCGGCAGTCACGCTGTTGTGAACAGCACATATTTTGCTAGACCAGTAATTATATATTAAATACCATGTATGTGTGCGTATATTACATGCATAGAGTATACAGTGTACATCTATACACGTAGCATATGTATATAATATTGTAGGGAACCATGATTTTCAAAGGAAAAGAGATACAAAGTAAAGGAAGTAAAATCTGAATTAAAATATCCTTTACTAGGTATCCCTAGTAGTCCTAGCCATACCTACTGTTAGATATTCACGATATTATTTCTATTCCTCCAGCAGGTTTCCTTCACCCCCGTGTCCACACTAGAAATGGGTTTTATTTCCACGATTCTCTCGATTCTAACTATCCAATGACAATGACAACCCGGGAGAGTCAGAAGCCCTAGGGTCCAGATGACAGTCCTTCAAAATATTTTCCATTCAAGAGATCCAGGCCACTTGGAGAAATGGCCAGTTCCAGCCTGGGGCAGGAAACACACAGTTTCCACATCCCATTGTGCTAAAGTCAGGGCAGTTCCTGAAACAAATGGGATTAACAGACACCAGAGCAATGAGGGTGCCAGGGGCCAAAAAGGGAGCAATCTGAGCACTGGGAAAATCATGACAGAAATGGATTGAAACCTGACAGATAGATTTAAAATGAGACTTTAAAAAAACAACAAAAACAAGAAATGAGTCATTCATCCCTGGGGGTTTAGGGCACCAACATATTATGATGAAACTAGTAAAGAGAGGAAGAACCAAACGTGTTAGTCAGGGCCACAACCCCGTGAATGAGCCAGTTTTTCTTTCCAGAGGGATCTGAGCGATGAAAAGGAAAGGAAAGCTAGAAACAGGAACTCTGTTTTGTAATCCTAATAAAATAATGGGTCCAGGCCCTGGCATCCGTGCTCGCTAAAATCGTGAGGGCTGCAGCTGCTGGGAAACCTTATCACAGGGGGCTCAGACCCACAATGTTGGAGCCCACTGATCACCCTTCTCATCGTAAGGAGAGCACAGACCAGGGGGGCCCTCAGCAGCCACGGCTCCGCCTCTGAGCTATTCTTGCCCAAAAGTGTTAAACAGCCTCCCTCTGCCTCCCATGCTCCTGTTTACAGGAATTAGCCAATCAAAGGAATATGATGCCAAATCCAAACTACGAAAAATATGACAGGACAAACACCCAGCTTCCTCAGCGAATAAACAAGAAAACAAGGGCGGATGTTCCCTTAGACTGAAAGAGACATAAAAGGTACATGGACCACATACATGGGGGGAGGGCTTTGTGGATCCTAATCTGAACAAAGCCACTGGAAAAAAGACATTATTTGAGAAAAGTAGGTAAATTTGAACAGGAATGTTTACCAGATGCTATGAAGAACTTGCTGCTTTATTAAAGGTGTGATGATGATATTATGATAAGGATGTTATGGTGATGTTTGAGTAAAAGATTCCATATGTGTTGGAGCTGCAAACGGAAGTTTTTCTAGATAAAATGATTTGGTGTCTGGAGTAGGATGGCAGTGTGGGGGGCTGGGCGAGGGGACAGATGAAACTACAGGGGAAATGTCACCCTCCGCTTTTCACCTTTGTCCCACCCCGTCCCTGACCCCACAGGTAATAGCACACCAGCTCCCCTCTGCCCGTCCATTCACATGCAAACTCCTTGGCATAGCATTGCGGCCCCTTCTTCTGACACCCCCCACCCCTGCCTTATTCCTAGGCCACTCTTCCAGGGCCCCCCTCATCTCCTCACTTCTTGCTCATATGTCTCAGCTTACACGCCACTTCCTCCAGGAAGCTTTCCAGGATACCAACTCAGTGTTCACCCAGAACTGGCTCTGTGCCCATGACCCCCTTTGGGTTTACTTAATAGATTACAATGTATGATGACTCTCCAGACTGCAAACAAGGACAGACCTGTCCGTCCACTGTTGAATCTGGAACTAAGGCTGGTGCACGGTGACTAGTAGCTGGATGGAGGTGTGGATGGAGGAGCAGATGCAGGGAGGGAGGGAGAGAGACATATGGATATAAGTAGATAATATTAAGAACAAAAGACAGACCCGGAGGAAAAAGACCTCCCCCCTCCTGTATCCCCGACCCTCTGACATCCCAGGTGGGCTCACCCGTCTTTTTCATTTCCTTCTGGTACTTCTGCTTAAGGCGGTCCATGAGAAGGCCGTTCCAGGGGGCGCACAGCACTCCGAAGAACTGAGTGATGGCAAAGGCGTTTGTGTAGGTGCTGACTGCAGAGGGCAGAGAGGTGCGGGGTAAGGAGAAATTTCTAGGACTGCCTTGCAAGTCAGGACTCTCCACCTGCTGTTCCCCGCCTGACCCTCCTCCCCACACCCTGCTTGGACCCACCCTGGAGCACACAGCCCTGCTGGGCTTCACACCCACAAGGCTGGGGGCCCCAAGTCCACAGCTGAGATTCACAGAGCGGTGGGCCAGCACCCAGCCCCGCCACACACCCAGCGTCCTGTTCCCTCGGGCCAGGTTGGTCAGCAGCGAGTTGAGGGTGCCGATGAAGAGGTAGTGCCACAGCTGTATCACAGACAGCCACACCAGGTGCCAGGCAAAGCGCCGAGAGAACGCATAGCTCCAGAAAGATCGGGGCTGTGGCGGCGGCTGCGGCTGCTCAGGATCTGGGCTCTCTGGTGGGGGGAGGAGGGCGTGGGCATGAATTACTAGGAAGGTGGAAGTGCAGTGGCCAGGAATGCAGAGGCCCGAGGGGGCCGGCACCCCCCACCTCTCCACCTCTGTCATCCAGGCCCTGCCACCTGGAAGGACCCCACCTGTGTTCTCTGGATCTCCTGAAATCTGGTCTTTCACATCTTGGATTCAATGACATTTCTTGCACTAACAATGACATTTCTTGCACTAACACTTTCCTGATCTTTTTCAGCCAGAATGGTGAAAAGAAAGACAAGGAGAGGGAAAAGAGCAGAGATGAGGGGTGGGGTGGACAGCATCGCCCAGTGGCTCCACATCCACTCTCCTCCCCTGGCACGGGTAGCCTGAGTTTCTTCTGGAAATCTTCCTCTACCCTGGTCCTCGTGGTCCAGATGGGACCGTGGATCAAGAGTCCCGCTCCGCTCGCCGGTCGACCAACCTCATCATTCTCCCTAGAGAGGCGGGCTGGCCGGGACCTCAGGAGGGAAGCCCCGGCAGCCCCGGCTTCTCCTCCTCCTGGAGGCTGTGAGCTCATTCACCCCTTGATGTGAGGTTTCAAAATTCCCGCTCTTGTTTCTACCTTGGCCGGCGGTGGTTTGTGATGCTTGGAACCAAAGACCCACAACCGACAGAAGAGGGAAAGGAGATGAATGCAGATGAGACAGTGAGAGGGGGCACCCGGGAGACCTGCAGGAAAGGGGACAAAGAGGCAGGCTTAGGACTGAGGAGCAGAGCAGGGAAGGAAGTCACCTGTGAGAGACTGACTGGGGGGGAGGGTTGGGGGGGGTCTGAGATGATAAGAGAAAAAAGAGGGACAGAAAACGGAGAGGAGACTAAAGTCTTACCCCCACCAGACCCTCTGTAGAGGAGGGGTTAAAAAGACCCTCCCTCAATTCTGATCAGTTTTCAATTTCAATGTGTGCCAAACAAAACTTCAAGCAGCATGAACCAAACAAAGAAAAAAAGAAGATCCTATGGCCCTTTCCCCCTGATCTCTCCTATCCTGAGCCCCTGGAAGGAAGCTCTGGAGGTGAGAAGCCAGGCCTACCGCAGAGAAAGGCCAGGAGGAGGGCAATGGTCCCCGCAGCAGGGCTCACCTGTCTTCTGTGAGAGGCATTCCTGGGAGGGCAGCTCCAGCTTCGGGGATGAAGCAGCAGTTTCCCTCTGCTCCTCTGTGGCTCCATTTCTAGCACACAGGCTGTGGAAAGAGAAGCCCACCAGCCCATGCCCAGGATGCTGAGTTGAGCCCGAGGTGCAGGCTGGAGGGCGCCACATGTCCCCCACGCTGGAGGAGCCCCGAGTGCTGGGGCGGCCCAGATGGGTTGAATCAAAATATCTGGGTGTGGCAGTCAGTTTTCTGCATGTTTAAAAGATCCCCAAGTGATCGCAGTGATACTTTTGTGCAGCAAAGTTTGGGAACCAGGAGCAGCATGGGCAGAGCAGGGCAGGCCTGGGTTCAAGCCCAGCTCAGCCTCTTTCCAGCTGTGGCCACAAGGCCTTTGGAGTCTCTTTTTTTCTCAATTAGTAAATAGAGCTAAGGCTCTCTGTCTGCGGGGATGGTGTCCAGGATGAGATCATGGGGCACATAGGGTCTGACAATCATGAGCAGCCAATGAATGGCCACCCTCTACCATTTGTGATGACCGATTGCATAAATCATCACCTCCCTTAATCTCCTTTACAAATGAGACTTTGCAGCTCTGAACTGCTCCAGCCCAAGAAAGCAGCAAGAGTGATGCAGCACTAATTCCAACCTTAAGCCCCAAGCAACCCTATGTCTCTCTGCACTTACTCTTGGAACCCTAAACCACCTAGTGAATAAGCCCCAGCTAGCCTGCTGGAGGTGAGAGACATGGCACCCAGACAGCCCCGCACCCCAAACCAACACCAGGTAAACTCCACCTGAGTGAGGCCTTCCTAGACCCGCCAGCCCCAGCTATCCCACCAGATGATCAGAGGCCTGGGTGAGCCCTGCCAAGATTGCCCAAGCCTGTCCCCAATCAGGAGAACCAGCCAGCCACCCACGGACTTGTGAAAAATAATAAATGTGTAATGTTCCAGACCATCAAGCTTGGGACCGTTTGTTATGCAGCAGTAGCTAGCTGACGCAGCTCTTCTAGTCCTCCACTCTGTGACAGGTCTCCGCCACCCTACCCCCATCAAGTCTGGCCTATCCCTGCTTCCTTCCCAGGTCAGATAAGGGGCCAACCACCAGCAGAGCACAGGCCTTACCCATAGCTGTAGTTGGGGGGCAGAGGGAAGGGGATGTGCCCCCGGGGCATCAGGAGGAATGTACGCCCAACATGCCAGATACTGCAGACAGACAGGAAGATGAAGGAGGCCCTGATGCTGATGCCTTGTTCATAAAGGAGCTGCAGAAAAAGGAAGGGGGAAGGTCAGTCTAACACCCATGTTCATAGCAGCAGACTAAATGATCCACCTGTAAAATGAGGATTAAATAGCTCCTCTCCGTCTCTGAGGCTTGAGGGAGAGAAATCGTGCAAAGAGACTGGCCTATGGACAGCTCCATAAATGCTGGCTACTGCTCATTTTTACCTTAATGATAAGGAAGACAGCCGAGGAGGAGTCGAATGCACCATTGTAGAGGGTGATGATGGTAGAGCGGTGTCTGCCAAACAGGTTCCCAACCTGAAGAACACATAACCAGCCCAAATCATGCGTTTATTCGTGAAATATTCCCTGAGCACCCAGCATGTGCCAGGCCCTCATTATATCCCAAACCCACCTGCCACCCCAGGAGACCCCACCCTGGCTTGGGCCAATCCCATTTGTAGCAGCCACTGAAGAAATTTCTGTCCTTCCCCTTCCCCATCCCAGCCTCTTGCTGGTGCCTGAGATCCAGATGAGCTCATACCTGCAGGTTGGTGATGAGAAACAGAATTCCCCCGACAGTGAGCATGGGCATGGCCAGGAAAAGCAGCACTGCTGAGTCTGGAACAATCAGACAGCAGAGTCACAGAGCAACCCAGACACAGAGCCTCGAAATCTAGCTCCCATCTGTACCAAATCCCCAACAACCCCGGAGTTACAGCCTTAGCACTAGTCAGCCTTCTTGCATCCCTGGAGGATCTCAGCGTGCATGTTGAGACTCCCCCAAATGTTCTCATGCAGGTCTCCTGAGCCACCTTCAGCCTCTCTAACCACGCTCCTAATACACAGTAGCCTCTGTGTTTATTCTTGACACTGTGGGGGAGACAGCTGGATGTGACCCCCAATTCACCCCCGAGTCCAGTCTCTAGTTCAGTCTCTGGCCTGGAGCGGGATTCTGAATCTGTGACTCAGCCACCTGATTGTTCAGCGGGAGGACGGTCCCTGCCCAACCTGCCTCCTGGGATTGAGTGCCTGCTCCATACCAGGCACCAGACTTGGCAGTAGGGATGCAGGATGAGAAAAACACACCTCCTGCCCTTGAAGGGTGGTGTAAATAAATCCTTGCAGTAGGGCTGGAAAGGGCTGCATAAGAGCAGGACAACCGTTGTCCTAGGAGAGTCTTCATAAATGAGTCTCTCCTGGACCACAGGCTGCCACCTGCATGGTTCTGCACGCCTCAATGGTTCTGGCACTGCCTACGCCTGTCCTATTGCCTGCTAAAATGTTTCCCGTAAGTTGACTCACTTTTCAAAAGAAATCTATGACTTTAAAAGGAAACTTTTTAATCACACCTATAAATGAAAAGCAACTCATGTTGCTTGTCAGGAAGCTAGAGAGTCCCTGTAGAAATAAATAGGATGAAAGGAAAACAGTGTTATTACATTGTAAAAGAATGCAGTTGCCCTCAGAGTGTGCAGACCCTGAAGCCTGCTCTTGCCATAGTGTTAAGACCACACCAGCTGGGACCTCCCTGGTGGTGCAAGGGGTTAAGATGCAATCTATGAAGCTATCGGCAGCCACTGCAGCACGAGTTCGATCCCTGGCCAGAGAGCTACCCACATGGTGTAGCAGACCTCTCCTGACTCGCCCGATGCTCCCCTCAGCAGTGTTTCAGTCCATCTGCCTGTTCTGTTCCCCACTGTCTCTGGTGAATCCTCTCAGCCCCACCCCCCCACATCTCTGGCTTGCACCCCAGTTTTTATATAAATAAATCTTAAAAAAAAACAAAAAAACAAAAAACCACACGAGCCCCGCGTCGAGATATTGGAGAACTGAAAGGGAGATAGACCGTAACTTTTCCACCAGGTGACTCAGTGCTTGTTAATGGGGCACATGGTGCTTCCCAATGGCCTCTGGGGCAATGACTGTTCTATACCCTGAAAAGCACCCTAAGAACTAATTCTGGAGTATTTGCACAATTGATGATTCAGTGTCTATCTTTACAAAAAGCAACCTCTCCTCATGCACCACAGCTTGATTGGGTTTCCCTTTCCAATAGAGTGAGTGTGCAAGCCACACTGTTCTATGGGGAAGGGAACACATGTTGCTCCAACAAGTCACAAGGATAAGTCACACCTGCACAGCCACCAGCTCCATGCTCAGCCTCTTGAACATCACTCACAGGCTTTTAGACAAGATGCACGCAGTTTGATGAAGAGACTGGTTTTAAGGAACGGGCTGGAGGTGCTGGGTTATTTCATGAGACGCATCTGCCCAAAGACCTTCACCTGTTTACCTGCCATGATGCCAGCAGTTCAGCCCAGAGATACAAGCATGAAAGTGCTGCACTCTCATGCCCCACCCAACCGTACGGCCACGGGACCCGCTACAGGGAAGGATTATCCAAAGGCATCTCTGCCAGCACAACCGGCGTGCTAAGGAAGCGCACAGCCAAGGTCTCCAGGCGTTCCCCCAAAACGTGCTCTGTGGTCTTGGAGGGTCTTTGCAAGGGGTCTCCTCTGGTCTCAGTTTTCTCTCCATAGTGGGGGAAGGGAGAACGGAAGCAGATGGGCATTCCCAGACCGTGGGAATTTTATACATTTCTAGACCAGGGAAACTTGAACACTTCTGACTACGATAGGGTTGTTAATTTTTACCCTGCTAAATAAGGATATTTTCAAAAACAACTGTCACTCATATTATCATTTTGTTTTAAAAAGAGAAGGTCTGGATACACACAAGGGGGAAATTCTGAATAAATCTGACTCAGAAACAATCTCCCATTGTCCTTATTTTTTCACAGTTCTCAGTAGACTGAACTGGTCCCAGAGTCCAGCAATAACTCTCTCATGGATAATTTCCAGCTCAGAGTCTGTGGATCTTTGAATACCTGGGGTCAGAGCATCCTGCCCATCACCTCCACACCTGCCCCATCCTCCAGGTGCCCCTGACCACATGTCCCTCCTACACCCTGACAACACTCACCTGCAGAGGTGAAGGCGACGGTGAGCGTGGCGGTGGTGTAGAGAAAGCTGAAATACAGAATGGGAGATGAAGAACGTTGTCAAGAAAAAAGAAATTTGGGGAGAGCCAAATTCTGTTCTCTCAATCTCCTGCATTCTCTGCCAGGAAGTTCAATGGGCATTGAAGATTCTTGAGTCCCAGGCCCAGAACCAGGTCCGGGAAGTCCCACCTGGTGATTAAAATGTGACCTAGACCTCCACAATGTGGTATTTTGCCTTCTGGGGGTGCAGAGCTAGGCAGGCAAGTCTCCAGCTGATGAGTTCAGGAGCAGCTGCAGGGATTAGCCAGGAGGAGAGCGGATGGAGCGAGGCCTGTCCACCTGAAGTCCTGTGTAGGGTCAGGAATGGCCACGGAGCAGGTTTTCTGATCCAGCAGACCAGGTAAAGGAGGAGTCCTGGAGCCCTCGGTGGCTTTGCAGGCTTTTATTGGGATTACCAGGCACACGGCAAGCAGGGGTGCTGGGGGCCGGGAGGCTGTCAGCTCCCGGCCCCCAGCACGTCCTCACTCTTTCTGGGCTCTCCAGCCTTCTCTCTGCTTCTCGGCTCTCGGCTTCTCTGCTCCTGCTGGCGTCCCCGTGACACCGCCCCAGTCTTAGCCCAGGTGAATCCCATCTCCCTATGCCCACGCCCTACTCCAGGTGCCCGCCATCAGGCATGCATTCAGGACCACAGGGTTCCGTCATCTATCCTGACAGCTGGAGGGCAGAAAAGCCTGATACTTTTTACCTTCCCCTACATCCCAACAGGTCCATTCCCTGGAGAAAGGAATTGGTGCCTGCGCTACATATTAAAACCTTGAGTTCTAATTCATCCTTGCTGTGTGATCTAGGGCAGGGACTGCCCTTCTCTGGCCCTCAGTAGCCTGTGCTACAAAAGGAAATGATCGGATTGACCAAGACCCCAAACTTAATGTTCTAGGGCATTATGACTTCAGGACCACCATCCCAAGGTGATGGGAATCTCCCAGGCATCTGGGAGTCTTATAAGACACAGGGTAATAAAAGCGCCTCAGTGTGATACTGCGATTTATAAGAGAGATATATTTCTGCACCCCCTTCACCCCCAGAGCCCTCATCAATCCCTAGGTGATTCCCAAGGGACAGCCAGAAGTGTCCGAACTAAAATGTTCCGCATGAAAGTGAAGGAGACAGAATGATTGCAGAGGAGGGAAAACGGGGCTTTTCTCAGCATATGAAGGTTGAAGAGGGAGGGACAAAGCAAGAGGGAGAGAAGATGGGCCCCACAGAACAGGAGAAACAGAAAGTCCTCACGCACCAGGCTCAAAGATGAAGGGCCTGGCTGCTTCCCAGCGCAGCTGGCCCCGCGGCCCCCCAATCGGACAACTCAAGTGCCTTCCAGGAAGGAAGATAGATCCCGCTCTGGGACCCATCAGCTCCCCACAGACCCCTGCTTATCACCCAACCTGGCCAGGCAGTGCTGAGACATATGGGGTGGCAGGGACATCTTCGACTCATATGCATGGGACACCCTCTCTGCCCCCCCTCCTTTCTGAGCCCTAGGAAATACCCCACAGGCCTAACTAGCTAAGTCCTGGGGGAGGGCTGGGGGTAAGCAGGATGATGACTGAGCCTCAGTGACCAGGGTGTGAGGCCTTATAAGGAGAGGAAGATGAGGATCCTGGGATGAAGGCAGAGTGGCAATTTTAGGTTTGCTAATTTTGTAACCCTGGCCCCATGCCAGCCTTTACAGGAAGTAGTGTGCACTCCCGGCTCACTGCAGCACATTGTACAGACAGGCCACATGGAGCAGGGCAAGAAGAAAGGGAAGTAGGGGTACGGGAAAAGGGTGGGGTCCAGAGACTGTCACCAACACAGTTCCTTTCTAACGGAGGGGGGTTCCCTCCAAGCCCAGCTGGCTGTCAGGAGAATTGTTCCTGTGCACCTCTGCCCAGGCTGGGCCTCTGGACTTACATGGCTATGAGGCGGGCCACCGTGGTCTTGAAACGGTCAAAGATGTAGCCAGTGGGGAACGTCATGAAATTGTTCATAAAGGACGCCAGGGTGAAGATGAGTGAGAATCTCTCATCCTGGGCCTTGCAGCCTGCGGGAGAGCAGGGGACACCTCAGGAGCCCGAGCAGAGGGTCAGCCTCCCGTCCGTCCCAGCCTTCCTACCAGATGGCGTCCCTCCAGGGGCCCAGTGGCAAGTCCTCCCTCTCCTGCGCTGAAATGTGGTTGCCCCTTATTCCCCTCAGGAAGGGGCCCCACCTTCCCCAGGCACCTCCTAATCCAAGGTTGGGGGAGGTGTTTCATCAGGGAAGCGGATACCCCCGTTCTCTTGCCATGGAAAGGCCAGCAGGGTGGGCAAGGGGTGGAATCCACCACCTGGGAATAAGACTCAACTTCCCCAAAGAAATGACCACCCCTTACCATTCTCCCCGGTGGCATTGGCCATCAGCTGGGCATTGGGTTCACACAGCTCCTCAAAGTAACCCTCTGTTTTGAAAACAAACACCAGGGACGCCCAGCCGAAAAGGACGCCTGCAAAGCCAAGGCATTCCAGCAGCCCGGTCAGGAGGGTGGCCAGGCGGAGGCGGAGGCCCAGGCCTGGCCCAGCCTGAGGCGGAGCCTCCTCAAGTCCCATTGAGGCCTCTTGGGCTGACCACAAGAGCCGCGAGTCCTGGGTCTGGAGCACCTGGAAAATTCCTCCGGCAAGCCCGTTCCTTCAGGTAGCTCTGATTCTGGCGGGTTCAGACTTGGGCAAAACCCCTCCGTGGGCCAGTCTCTGGATCCTGTAAATTGAGGCAGCGGCTCCTTGGTCCAGGGGGATTGTGGGAAGGGGTCAGGGAGACAAAGGGTTCTTTGTAGGTGGAGAGAGAGGCCAGGCGTTAGAAATGCCAAAGGTCTCTCCCACCACAGCTGGCAGAGGAGGGAGAGGGAGAAGCTAGTGCAGAGTCTGAAGACCATCCACTAAAATAGTAACCGCATTGGGCCTCCCTGGTGGCGCGAGGGGTTAAGACGCAACCTGGGAAGCTGTCCGCAGCCACTGCAGGGCGAGTTCAATCCCCCGGCCGGCCAGGGAGCAACCTACATGGCACAGCAGACCTCTCCTGACTCGCCCGCTGCTCCCCTCAGCAGTGTACTTCACTCAATCTGCCTGGTCTGCGCCCCACTCTGTCTGGTGACTCCTCTCAGCCCCCACACCTCTGGCCTGTACCCCAGTTCTTGTATTCATAAATAAATAAATCTTAAAAAAAAAAAAAAAGTAACAGCAGCAATTCTGACCCAGGCAGGGGATGGGGGGCTTTATCTCGCAAGTTCTCAGGACAGGGGTGTTTTGCTCTCCTTCCTTTCCTAACAACCAACAGCAGCTCCAGGGCGATTCCAGTCCACTGGCTATGATACAGGGCAGCCCCGATACAAAACGGGGTGCCTGACTGCGGGTCCTCACCCGCGGGCTTAAAAGGACTTATCCATGCTCTACTGCAGGCACACGCGAAAGGTTAATAAAAGGTTTATTTACAAGGGAAAGGGAAATGAGGAAATGTACAGCTCAGGGAGAAAAGTGGGAGACAAAGTTTTAAACGCGTCCTACCCGATCCGCCGATCAGGAATCCCAAATGGCGCTCTGAGAGCTGGCGCGAGCCAGGGGCCGTGAAGCCAGGAGGCGAGAGTGACCCCCAAGGCCCACGCGTCTGGTTTTTATACCAACCCTGCCTGCTGAACTCCACCCTCGGGTCCCAGCCACCTTCCCTTTGGTGGTGACGGGATTTGTCTTTCCCAATGTCCTGATGGCTTTGGTCTGGAGTGGGGGTGGCGTCCACAAAGCCTGTATGGGATGAGCTCAGGACATCCTTTCCCCCTAGCTGCTGGACACCCCCCTCCCCGCAGGCCGGTCTAGCGCCCCAGCCTCCCGACTCCAACGCGCCCCTCCCCAACGCGACCCTGCACGACCAGGGGGCCCTACATTTGCACGGGGGCGGGGGGGGGGGGGGCGGAGGAGGAACTCGGGGTGAGGCGTGTGAGCTCAGGCTTCAGCCTCCGTGTCCCGCTGCGCCCCAGCCCGGGAGCCCCCGCGACCCTCACCCCATCTGCCCCGCGCCTACCGCCGTCCTCTCCGAGCCGCCTCTCCCGCCTCTCGGGACCTCGGCGCGCTGCGCGGGGCGGATTCGAGCCTCCCGCCGCCGTCTGCGCGCGGCCCGCGGTGCCCGCCCGGAAGGCCCCTGGCGGGGGCGGGCGGGGAGCGCGGGCACCGCCCGGCCCCATCACTTCCTTCCCGCGGGGCGTGATCCCGCGCGCCCGGGACCTGCGCTCCTTCCCGCTCACCAAGCACTTTCTCTTCCCACTTTTCTTGGCCCTGCAGCCTCGCCGCTCCCTCGCTTCGCCCCGCTTTCCTAACCGAGCTATTTTAATCCTGCTGTGCGCTTGGACAGGCCCTTGGCGAGTAGCACAAAGTCACAGCGCGCGCGTGCGCTGGCGTGTGCACACACACACACACACACACACACACACACACACGCACGCACGCCCTATTCCATATGCTCTGCCTTGACCCCTTGAGTGGACACGGAGCCCCCATGAACCCACCAGCTCAGCGCTCTCGCTCTCAGTTCCCAGAGCTGGCGGCACAATCGCCAGCACAGCACAGAGCGCAAGAACCTGGACCGCACAGCTCCCCAGAAACCACCCCCCACCCCCGCGGGGTGCCCTGACTTTTCACCCCAACGACCCTTTTGATTATTCCCTGCCTCACCCCCAGCCCAGGTTTTGAAAGAACCGACCCGCCAGACTGTGCTGATTAAGTATTCATTCATTGCTCCATTTTTTATTAATCAAAGACATATATAATTGCCCATGGAGCTTGTGATCAGCGCGAGAGCCAACCACACCAGCTGCCTTGCACCCTTCCGGCCCAGAGCTAGTGAGCTGCCTGCTTTCTTGGCCTCTGTGGCCATTCCTCAAAGCTGGATGGGGTAGGGGGGCATTGCTTACTCCGTGCAGGCTGCAGACTCCAGACCCCCATGTTCAGCCTCCTGAATCCCACCCCACCCCACCCCCAGGTCCCAAGGGACTCCAGCTCTTTCAAGCTCGCCCTTTTTCTTAAAGAGGAAGAAACAGAGGTTCAGAAGGTGGGAGGCCAGAGCAGGCAGGCTATGGAGGGAACATTTTCACTACCAAGACAAAAGGGTTAAGGAAAGCATGACCACCCAAGTGATTGGCTACCATTGGTGGGGGCACAGCCCCAGGCAAGCTCTTTGCCTACCTACAGGATGAAGACCAGGGCCTTAATTACAATACTTGTCACAAAAGAAATCTGAGATGGGTTTATGAACTCCCTGCAGACGTTGTAAGCAATAGCCAAGCTGCAGATAATACTGGATTCTCCAATTTCCAGGTATGCAGACAGATCCAGAGGAGCTGCTTGGGGAGGGACTTCAGAGGAACTTGCCCAAGGTCAATCTGTCTGTCCTGCCCAACTCCCAAACCTGTGCACTTAACACTCCTCATCTTAACAATGGATATTCGGACACAAGAGAACAAAAGTCTTTTCTTTAAAAATTAATTGACAGGGAAAACCATAAGCAAAGGTTGCAACCCAGGACAAATAGGACTTATGATGCTAGATTTTTCTATTTTACTGCAAGATGCAAAGACACAGAAATTAATTCAAACCCTATCTCCTGCTCTGGCTTACATTTTGGTCTCTTGAGGATCTGGGGGATCAGTAAGGGTGGAAGCAGCAAGGGAGGAACAGAAAAAGTCAAAGCAGGGAAAGATTTTAGAATGTAAATCTGCTGGAGCCGGCTGAAAGGCTGCTGGTGCATCCAGGACTGGAGCTCCGGGACTCTGGACAGTTCATCCCAGTCTCCATCCACCTCCTCTTGGCGTCTCTCTCTGGGTTCTTATGCTCCCACGCCGCACCTGCATCAATGTTTGCAGAAGGCACTGCCTTTAATCATGCAACCCCCTTACTATACCTGTTGGGACAAAACATTAAAATATTCTCAGAACCATTCCTGTTTTATCTGGTTCGCGTTCCAGCAGCTAGCAGAGGCAGATGCTATTCAGATCATTCTAAGGCCTCACTCCGATGAGGATTAATGTGTAACATCAGAGAGAGGTGTGATTATAATAAGGTCTGACAGTGCCCAATGTCTTCATTCCTTCGTTCACTTCCTTTTTCCCTCTTCTCCCTCCATCTTTTTGTTATTAGTTGATTTGCTTAACCAATACATAGGTTTCCCCACACACACTATATGATAATAGGAAGGTTTCTTTTTGGTATGATGCACTAGGTTATTTTTGGAGTCTAGGCAACAACTGTTATCATTATTATGGTATACCATGTATATGGCCTTTTTTTGGTGTGCATTCCCAGATCCAAAAAATAACCTACAAAAATCATGCTAAATAGAGTCGACTATTCCATTTTCAGATAGCAGGGGAAAGCTGTAGATGGTCAGTAGTCTTTATGCCAGCTCTGGGATTCTGAGAAAACTGGCATCTTCCCTCACGGACCTCATTCTCTAGCTAGGGAGACAAAGGAACCCAAGATTTCTAAATTGAGGGGAACAGTCCTCTAGACAGAAGCTAGCTAGCACAGCATTCACTTGACAGAGCAAGAACATTCTAGAACTAACAAGAACAGAAACTGGCAAGGAGAGTGTCTTGTCAGACCTGAAGGTGGAGTGGCCAGCTGAGTAAAGGCATTTGGACTTGAGTCCACATCAATCATGTCCTATTGATTCCACCTCTCAGTGTCCCTCCTATCTCTCCTTGGCCAGTGGCTTCTTCAGACACTTGTCATCTCTGCCCCGGACATTACCTTTGTCCAAAGGTTTGCCATTCTGCCACGAGAGTTGCTTTCCATGGTTCCCACTGACACTGCTTCACTGCTCAAAGCCCTTCAGAGTCAGCTAGTTCCTGAGGGTCAGCCCAGGCTCTGAGGATCCCAGACACTGGACATCACTGCATTGGGGGTAGAGCCTCTTACATCCCACCTGAGTGCTGGGACTTTCCTTTCCCAAGATGAAAAAACTCACATGTAAGTGGACCCATGCCTTTGAAACCCAGGTTGTTCAAGGCTCAAATGTAGTGGTTCCTGCTGTTCACAAATGCATTGAATTCCTGAAAAACAAAGAGGAGATCAGGAAGCCACATTTGAGGAGGACTGAAAGGTGCTCCTAACCTAAAAAAGAAACAGAAGAAGGAAAAAAGACCACTGTGCCTTGGGAAGCACAGTCACGTGCTCCAGAAACCCCACCCCCAGAGAACTGATCTCTGGGGAACACCTACACCACCCCCTCCCCCACAACTGGGCTGTCTGAGCAGGGAGGCTGTGCTGTGAGCAAGAGGGGACTGTTTATGAGCCTGAGTGGACAGGAAGCAGGGGAGTCTCACATTGGGGCCTTCAGGATGTGTCCCTGTGGGTTCCAAGTGGTTCCGACCAGGTGGGACACTATGGCAGAGCCCTGAATGGAGGCAAGTTTGTGGAACCAAGCATAAGTATTCTTAGCCATTGCTTTGTGTAACTGCCATTTTAGAATATTAGGTTTTGCTGGGAGAAGACTGCATTCCAGAGATAGTTTGGACCCTCACTTCACCCTTACTCTCCGGTCACCAATGAGGGCTAACTTGCTGTCATTGGAGCTGCAGGTTGGAGCTGCATCTCGGCCTGGCCAGTCAGCTTAGAATGATAGCCGGGCAAAGTTGGAGAACGCATCCTTGTAGCCAATGAGTAACTGCCAGCATAATTTAACCTTATTAAAAGACCCCTGCTTCCTTTGTTCGGGGCTCTCGGTATCTGCCACTGCATTGGTAGGTGCCGTGAACTCGGACTCGAGTCTGAAATAAACTCCCTTTTGTGTTTGCATCAGCTGTCTTTGGGTTCTTGGAGGCTATGCTCGCCGAGTCTGCTGACCTTGGGCACAACAAGTTCTTCTGGCTCTGGAAAGACCTTTCTCTTTAGCCCAGGATGAAGCTGAAAGCAATTTAAAAACAAAATAAAACAGTCCAACTTGGGACCTGGTGCTAAGCCCACCTAAATGTCTAACCTAAGAAGCTCAGTTAATCGCTAGCCTCAGGACACTTTCACCCTCCTTAGGAAGGAATTCTTAACTGAAAGCTGCTGCTTGGCACCCATATAACAACTTTTCCCATCCCCCAAAGGAAGATGAAATCATCCACTTGAGACCTTTTCCTCATTCCCCATAGATGGCCACATAAGCCTAAAATAATTCCCTCTTTCCTTATCAGGCCTTCTTTCTGCCTCTAAAA